ACGGTGATTTAGTCCTCCTCTCCTCATGAATACATATACGGTGCATATATTATTTAAATGATTCGGTAGATTGATGGCTAACAGGTCCAGGCAGATCCTGTTCTCCATTTCATCTTTGGAGGCGTCTGCTCTGTGAGAGCCGCACAGAAGGTCAAACGTGTCGCTGGAGGACAGTTTGACACCAGTACATGACCTGCTTCAAGATTGGACATAAACAGGTGATTTCTGTTGGCACCGGGTCACCCTCACTCCCTCCCTCGGTTTAAATATAACCTCAAATGTTATTGTAACGAAACATATGATGATGGGAACACAGCTGGGAAGAAAGACGTTTGAAAAAAATCAGCTGTGCGGCTACAGGAGCTCCTGCTGCCACCGTGTACCGAGGCTCATACTTATACTGTAACTGTATACTGTAACAAAAATGTGTTAGTGACACCTGCCGCGACACCATGTTCACATGAAATGATGTTTGGCGTCTTCGTCATCACTGCAGTGAATATCAACTTCTGTAAAGAGCAAAAATGTGACAAATAAGTAGTAGACAACTAAGTAGTTCAATTCTGCCCAGACAGCATCGCTGACAAAAAGTGACCTGTGATCTATATGCTCATGTAAATCCAGGAGATGGAGAATATCACCACTGACGGTTCAAGTCTTTTTAGAAACATCATCAGCATCAACATGATCCTGAATCTGGATTCAGATTCTCAGCAGCTTCAGATTCACCACAGCGTTTTATTCATCACTTCACATTTTTATGAAGGAGACTGGGGGGAAAAAAAAAATCCGAGGATTCTGACAGTGCGACAGCTCCCTCTACCGAGGAAAGTGTGGTACTGCACATTGTGACGCTGTATTTACTTGTACAGTACACTGTTCTATTCTGACGCTGTCGGTATAAGAGAAATTAGAAATTAAATAAAAAAAAACATTTAGGGTAAAAACCAAACGAGTAATGTCAGACTAACATGTTTATCATTCATTTTCATGACCAACATAAAGGAGATATTCACACAAATATAACCTCAGTTTAATAGTTAGAATAGTTATATTTTTGATTAGCAATTTTGAACCCTGGTGGGGTTTTTTTTATAATTTAATAGATTTTCTCATTTTATCTTATTAAATAATGTAGTATATTACCCAAAATACCTGGTTAATTAAGTATTTATGCATCAGCAAACAAAGTAAACTTTGTAATACATCTGTTTATTGTTTGTTTTTAACCAAAAATGGGTAATCCTGTTAAAAAAAAACTAGAATAGAAGAGATAGAAACTGCCTCATATTTTTATGTCTGTAGCCCTATTTAAAACTATGTGGGATTTAGCAACATCTAGTGGTGAAACTATATGTTGTGGATTAATATTTCCTACTGACTGAGTCCAACAGGTGACAGAACATCCGTCAGTTTCATGGACATTTTTGTTTCTTTAGTGTCGGTTCACGTAAGGACGTGACGATAGAACACGATGGGAAAAGTAATGGGAATTCATACTTTTAGATTGATTAACAGCGACTGTTTTAACATCATACAGGTCATAGAGAGTGGATAACAAATATATTAATGTTAAGGCAACATGACATTAACAGTTGAAGTTGTCTGAGCTCAGACTGTAACGACGACTTCACCAGTTAGACCGGAGCTGCAGTTTCTTATGCAGATAAGACAGGCTTTAATCCCATCAGGCCGACAGGCCGACATGTTGCTCAGTTTCAACATAATAACATGCTGACCTTGGTCCATGTCCTGCCTCCAGCATTGTTCTCCGTCTCTCTGACGTAAATGACGGCTCCCTCTTCTCACTTTAAATGCTTTTTCTCACACACGTCCCTGGACGCCCACATCCTAACCTCTGCTTTTGTTCACAGGATGTTTAGTTTGTGCCTCATAACCAGCTAAAGATGAGGAATCCGTCGAAAAAAAAGGGGGAAAAACAAATAAAGAAAACTGGGATTTGAACGTGGTGATTAACAAAGATTCCATTACATCATCACTTAGTCAGAGGGATTGGGCACAGGAGCCTGAGAGATGAGACAGCCGAGGAGCCAATCGTGTTCATGTGAACTAAATATCTAATCTGTGATGATGCGACAGCCGATATGAAGCAATCATTGACCCTGTCACGCTGTGTCTTTTTTGTGTGAGACGTTTATCACATTTGATTAGAACGCTACTGAACGCACGAACGGAGGGAAAGCCTCAGGCTGGAAAACAGCGAGTCAAACCAAGTCCAGCTGTTGTTCATGCATGTGTGTGTGTGTGTGTGTGTGTGATTGTCTGTGTGTGTGTTTTTGAACACATGGGAGACACAGAGCCGAGGGATTTACAGAACTTTTTGTTATGCATGTGAGTGTGGTACAGAAAACAACCATCAAGGCCAGATGTTCTGACAGTTGAGGAGGACACAGGAGCAGGGTCACAAGTCAAACCACACACACACACACACACACACTCACATGCACCCACACACTTTCCTTGTAGCGTGGGAATTGGTGAGGGGCCCCATACATCACACCAGGAAGGAGGCGAGAGGTGAGGAGGAGAAGAGGAGGAGAAGGAAGACGGCGAGTGATGAAAAGCAAGATATGTGACCTTTTGTTTCAAATGATTTCTGTGCAGTCAGAGAGTGAAATGCACACAATGCAGCGGCGGAGGAAGAGAGAGAGCGTTAAGGAGTCGGTGTCATTGTATTTGCATGTTTGTTTTAGGGTGTGCGCCAAAAAGAGAATTCTGAGAGTGAAGGTTTGTTTGCTTTGCACCTCAAGACCATTGTACATTTGATCTGAGCTCCAGAGAAACAATCCTCTGCTGCCTCACTCTGCCTAACACACTTTTTGTGTGTGTGTGTGTTGTGTGTTTTCTCTTGTTCTGTGTGTGTGTGTGTAAACAGGATCCTGCCAAAAACAGTTTGTAGTGAACAACTCCAGACGCAGGTCGAGGACAACTTGACCTTTGTCACTTCCTAAATACCAGTCACTGTGACTCTGACTGTCCCTACAGTCGGAGAGCGAGTGTAGAGAAAAGGCCCGGCTGCAGGACGGACGCAGAGATGTGTTTATGCAGAAGCAGATGTGTGAATACT